GGGGGGGGGGGGGGGGGGGGGGGGGGGGTGTACTCATAGTCGTGCATGCCGTAGTCGTTTGACCATTGACCTCGCATCCCTACAAAGCCGGGACGGAGCATGCCGGGTTCTCACCGGACCAGGCTCTCACATCACCAAGCGCGAAGGGCCGTGAGGTATTTGGCGAGTCGCATGAAGGGTGAGCTGCATCCTGCTAAGGGTGTTCGGCATCTTGTGCTTACTTCCTTGCGTACGGATGACAGCTACGTATGACTTAATTTATTTTCTGGTGCTTTCACTTCCAGAGACAGTTGTAAGCACTGTGTAACTGCCTCGAGGAAGCTTGACCATTTTAACACAACGTGGTGCGATCATCCCCCGTTGCGCGGAGTGAGGGTTCTCGACCCCGCACAACATGATCTACTCGACCACCATTATGGTTACCGCCAAAAAAAAACCGAGGTAAAAAAAAAAACGGTAACCTGGTTGCCGAGTTCACGAAGTGAATTGGCTTGTTTTACAACGTCGTTGCCAAGCGACGAAAACCCAACCCCGATGGCAAACACCGAGTGGGGGGCTTGTTTTACAACGTCGTTGCCAAGCGACGAAAACCCAAACCCCGATGGCAAACACCGGGGGGGGCGGCTTGTTTTACAACGTCGTTGCCAAGCGACGAAAACCCAACCCCGATGGCAAACACCGGGGGAGGGTTGAGGGGGGGGGGGTCTATCCTCGTGGTTCAGAACCGGGGAACGCCCTTCTACATGTATCATACAAGCACCACAATTATTTTATTATGATTGTCGCGCGCGAGAGAATACTTTCTTCCGGGGTACCTCCGTAAACACGGCATGGCAATTCGTTGTTGCAATAAAACTCGTCGCGTTCAATGTCTACAGAATAAACCTGCCCCCTGTTTTTCGGCGAGCGAGCGAGCGAGCGAGCGACGACACCTAGCCCTCCTCTTGACTCGTGTGCTACAGCTAGAGCCCGCACTTTAGAACTTTGCAGCTAAGAAATTGAGCAGAGCCTCGAAAAACCAAAAAAAAAATACCCACCAAAACACAACCAGAAGTTATGTTTTTTCTTCAAAACGCAACTAACTGTCGAAAAAACTTTCGATTCCTTTTTTCATAGGGAAGCATTGCGTGGTACAGCAGAACGCACAATTTTTTTGGGCGTTGACAACAGCAGTAAGGGTGTGCCATCGCAGTGCACCTGCACACCGGCGGTTGTTCCAAAGCCTATCTACAGCTTGATATATTTAGCCTCGAAAAACCAAAATACCTAGTACAAGACAGTGTGAGCGAGCCCGGTTCAGAACCTACAGTATAACCTGGTAGTATCTAATAGCGACCGTTGTAGTAAATAGCGCTCAAAAGGGACTGAGAACGTTATGTTCGGTCAAAACTCGAGGCTCCAAAGCATACGTGCCGGCGCCTTCCGCACGAGTGGCAACACACACGCGGGAGGCAAGACGATCCCCGCGCGGCATATCAATGAACATATACCATCCGCGTACC